GGCCTCTTGCTTCCCCTCACGTACGCACTTCACAGAAGGAGGCAGGGAGAAGAGGGGGTGGCCCGCTCCGCCATCAGCTTTGAGAGACCATAAATGTCAGGTATAAAAAGGTCCAGATGACCCCTGCTGAGGTGCAAATTGTGGCACTTGTACTGCCTCTCAGGCCTGGAATCACAGTTCCCAGCTGGTGAAGGACAGTGATTCCACCTCGATCTTGGTCCTTTGGAGCACAGTTTCAAGCTAAGGTTGCCGCAGTGGGTCATTTCCTTTCTTTTTTTTGGTTTTTCTCCGGTACCGGGAACCGAACTCATGACCTTGCGCTTGCCAGGCAGGCGCTTTGCCACTGAGCTAAATCCCCAGCCCCGTCATTTCCTTTCAATTGCAACCTGATCTCAAAGTCTGGAACTTTGGGCAGTGTTTGCATCCACTGTCTCAGCTTTCCCGTCTGGAGAAAAGGAAATGATCTACACCGCTGGGTTGTTTGGGTCTGGAACCCATGACCGTGATCATTAAAGATTTAGTATTGCGCAGATGGCCGAAGATTCGATGCTAACTTGCACTGTGTAAACGGAATCACCTTTGATCGGTGTTCGCTCGTACAACTACTAAACCAGCTGCCACTGTTTCTTCTCGGTGCCTTAAAATGAAGCAAAAACTAAGTACAACGAGAACAGGGTATAAGTGTTTCTGCTCACTTTGAAAAGTAATCCTCCTTAGAGCAATGGTTGTACCAACAAGTAGATTTGGGCCTGAATATCATGTTGTAGAAAATTAAAAAATACCAAAAAGTATTTAATTACTTCTACTTCTGGCCAGACCAGTACTGCTGCCAAGAAAAACTAGAAATACAGCTAGAAGATTAAAATAAAGGCTGCACATTGCTGCTAAGGCCCAAGCTGGAGAGAGAGGAAGGCCCTGACCGAGCGGAGCCTTCAGTGTTTCTCCCCTGCATCAGTCATTGTCTTCCGGGCAGGACAAGAGGTCAAAAAGCCCGAGGGTAGTGACAGCCGGAAGAGGAGGCAGCAGAGTTGTCAGCAGTCTCAGGGAGCTGGAAAGACAGCAGTTGGAGGCTGAGGCTGCCACGGTAGCCAGAATTTGAGGGATTAAGATCCCCCAGAGATGAGAAGGCCAGAAGCATGAAGCCAAATGTAGGCAACAATTTTCCATTTGAGGTATTTGGTTCTAAAGCTGCACAAGAAAAGAGGCTGAAAAACAGGACAGAGTTTTGGCAGGGCCCAGAGCCTGCTGAGAAGAGGGACCCTAGGAAATAATCCAGGTGCTCCCTATACCTTAAAAGTAGGGACAAGCAGCAGTGGTCTGAGCAGTACAAAGATTGCTAGCCAGCCAGGTATGGTGGTACTTACCATGGGAGGCTGAGGCAGGAGGATTGCAGCTTCAAGCCCAGCCTGGAAAATTTAGTGACTTAGCAAAACTCTCTCAAGAAACAGGGGCAGGGGCTGGGGATTTAGCTCAGCAGCAAAGGGCCTGCCTGGCAAGTGCAAGGTCGTGAGTTCAGTTCCCGGTACCGGAGAAAAAACCGAAAAACCAAAACAAAAAAAAAAGAAACAAGGGCACCTGTAATGCTAGCACTCGGGAGGCTGAGGCAGGAGGACTTTGGTGAGTTTGAGGCCAGCTTGAGCTACAATGGTGAATTCTCAAGGCCAGCCTGAACTACATAGAGTTTGTCTCAAAAAAAAAGGAAAAAAAAAAAGAAAGAAAGAACAAAAAGGGCCCAGTACACAGCCCCTGGATTAAATTCCCAATACTTCCACAAACAAACAAGATAGCTAACCGGACATGAATCAGCTCAGTTTGTGTTTGTTTTGAGGTGATCTGATCTCTTGCTGTTTGCTTTCCTGAAGCAGAGAATCCATCCTCTGAAAGTTTCCATTCATTATATGTGAAATTCAATAAAATAGCACCAAGCACCTAAAAACTGACTATGAGGAAAACAAGGTAATAGAAATAGACCCAAAGGTGACTAAGATACTGGAGTTTCAGAGACTTTTAAATAACTGTGATTAGTATGTTTCAAAAAATTAGTTGATAAATGGAAATTTTCATTGGAAAATTGGAATCTATTAAAAATAAATAAGTGGAAGTTAGAGATACTAAAACCTGAAATTAAGAATCCCGTACATGGTTTTAATATAAAATTAAGCAAAGCAGAAGAGAGAATTTGTTGGAAAGTAGGTCCTTACAAAAATCTACCCTGAGGCTGGGCGTGGTGGTGCTCACCTGTAATCCCAGCATGCAAAGTCCTAACATTGGAAATTCAGAAAAGGAGTAGAGAAAAAATAGCCAGAAACAGTAGTTCAGAAATACTGAGAATTTTCCAAATCCAATGAACGCTGTCAAGCCACAGATTTAAGGAGTGCTATGTATCCCAAACCGGATAGAGTCAAAGAAGTTTCCCCAGCCTTATCAGAGTAAAATTACTGGAAGCCAAAGATAATGAGATAAATTTTTGATCTACTATAAATAAAAGACAGATCATGTGCCTTTTTAAAGAAGCAGTGATTCTAGCAGACCTTTAAAATTCTATAGCTACTATACTTGATGAAATATTGAATGTTTTCTCTTGAGTTGAGGTACATTATAAAGTTCACCATCACTTCTGTTCAATTTTGAAGATTCTCTCTAGTGCCATATAAAAAAAGGGAAAAAAAGATGCAGTAAGGGGCAGTAGGGACTGGGGATTTAGCTCAGCGGCACAGCGCCTGCCTGGCAAGCGCAAGGTCGTGAGTTTGATTCCTGGTACCGCGGGGGCGGGGGGGGGGATGCAGTATTGAAAAGGATTAATGATGTTTTATTGCAGAAAACTTCACTATATACACATAAAAATCCAAAAGAATTAACAGTCATATGATTATAGCTAGTAAATAAACTTAACATTTCAGTCTGTAAGACCAGCATATAGAAACAGTTGTATTTTATATTCCACCAATAAAACCAGAAAATAAAAATTTTAACGTGTACCTTTACAAAAATTTTAACCTATATCATTTACAAAAATTCAAAACTTCCAAATATCTATGAATAAACCTACTAAAATATGTGTAAGACAACTATACAGAAAGCTACTAAAACATTATTGAGAGAAATTAAAAGTGATCTAAATATACAGAGATGGCCCATGTTCATGGATTAAAATATTCAATATTGTATAGACATCATTTATTCCAGTGTGATCCTATTAATGTGACCCTATTATATTGATCTAATAGGATCACAAAAGTAATCTCCAGAATATGGAAGAGTGTGTGTGTGTGTGTGTGTGTGTGTGTGTGTGTGTGTGTGTGTGTGTGAATTTATGTAGAAATGCAAAGAAACAGGATAGCCATTGTAGGAGAAAAAATCAATGCTGAAAAACTTAAACTGTAGATGGGCTATAGGAATTAAAATAATATAGGGTCATTGCTTAAAAACAAGTAGACCAAGTGACAGAGACTGGATCAGATTCACATGCAGACAGTCCCTTGACAAATGACTGTCATCAGGCCTTAGTTTCTCCTCTATAAATAGATTAACAGTGCCAACCACACAAGCTTTGAGTATTATGAATCTCAAGAACCCATATTTACCTGAAGGCTCAACCATTCGTCTAGCTATTTGTTGTCTCCCGCCCTCCCATTCGCCAGCCCACATGGCATTTGCACCCTGCTTCCTCTCCCACCTGCCCCCAGGGGACAGTACTCTTAAGGTTTCCATGCTTGGAGGCGTGACACCTGGCTGTACAAGGTTGTACCCAAGAGGTCTGAGTTCAAGTCCTCATTCTGCCTCTTCAACTTGAATGGCTTTAGGTAAGATTTTTATCCCAAGCTTCATCTCTAACAAGACGGTGGTGATGAGGATGAATTCAGATAATGAAGTAAAATTCGAGCAGAGTTTTCATCTATCTAAAGGTTGGATGTTGTTGCCATTGCCTGCAGTCCCACACCCAAGAAGCTCGCCTCCCAGTCTTTCTTCTCTAACCCTCAAATGCTCCGTTTACTGTTCTTCCTGCCTCCGGTAAATTAAGCGACGTAGTTTGGGACTCAGTCTTCCCAAGTGGGTCTAGCCTTGGGCACAGAACAGCACAGCCGCCCAGGACCCTGCACACCATGTCCTGTAGTTCTGTGCAGAGGCCCCTGATGGAAGGGCTTCCTCCAGGGCTGGCTGTTCTCCCGTCTGAGAAAATCTCCTTCTGGGGCCTCTTTCTGGGAATGAGGAGGAGGAAGTGACACCCACTCACCCCTCTGAGTCCTGCCTGTCTTGCCTGATCTCATAGAAATGTGCTCCAAACCATCGGGGTGTTGAGCTGCCCTCCTACCCTGTGAGGGGCGGGCCGTCTCCACGGGTGCTCTTCCCCAAGGGCAATGTAGTTCTGAATGCCAAGTAAGGAAGAGTTTGCCTCTGTGGTGTCCTTTTCCTGCACTCACACTGCTTGTGCTCACGTCAGGTGGAAGTCCAGACCTCCTTGACGTCTAACCTTTAGGTGTCCGTTGATAATAACTGTTTTCAGTTACTGTCACAAAGTACCGGAGGCTGGAAACGAAGAATAGTGTTTTCTTAGCTCACGGTTTGGGAGGCTGCAAGTCCAAATCGCACGGTGCCAGTTCTTGTCAGTGCTCCCTGGCTACATCCCACCATGGCAGATGCCATCATGGCAGGACATGTGCAAGAGGGGCAGCTCGCCTGGCAAGAAGGAAGCCAGAGGGTGGCAGCGGGACCAGGCTTGCTCTTCTGTAACGACACCTGGGAACCAGCCAGGGTCCCCTGAGAACTTCTTCAGTTACTTCAGAGAGCAGCGCCCTCGGGCTGAGGTCCCACCTCTTACAGGTTTTACCAGCCCTTAGCGTCACCACGGCGAGGACCACGCTTCCAACTCAGGAACCCCTGGGGGACCCTCACTAAATATCAAACCGTGGCAGTTGTCCCCAGCCCCGTAAGGTATCCGGCAGGTGTGAAGCCTGTCAGTGGCCGCAACACACATTTCTCCCCTTGCTCTGAACCCTCAGGCACTGGCCACCCCTCTCTGCATTTCTAGTCCTCCTCCCGGTGTCTGGTGTAGATGTGTCCTCCCTGCCGGAGTTACTGTCATGCGGACGAAGTTCTTGCTCCTTCCTTCCACACCTGCTTGTTACTTGGTAAATGCGGGGTGGTGAGACTTCCTGGGGCAAACCTGATAGCGCTCCTTTGGGAAAGGCTCCTCCCAGTAAGTTCTGCAGCGGCTCTGAACCCGGGTTGTGTAGGAGCCCTGCTCTCTACTCCTGGGGCCACTTCGTCTCCCCAGCTCCTTGGCCGACCCACAGCAGGAAGGGCCGGAGCGCTGGCGTGCTTTCTGAGCAACACAGGGAGTATGGGTGGAGTCCCTCCAATCGGGAACAGCAAGCTGAATTGCCAAAAGAAACTTTATCATCCTAATAAAATGAAGCACGTGATTTGCATTCCAGGTCCTTCAACTGTTCTGTGGGAACTCGGGCGCTTTCCCATGACAGTATTTTTATCCCTGATGGGGGAGCAGAAAGTGAGCAGACAGTCCAAGCAATGTCACAGGACAACATCCTGGGCAAAGTCAAAGCTCTTCAGGTAAGACAGCCTGCGACTGCAAGGTCAGAGCCGGAGGACGGGCCCTGCTGCGGGCGGAAGCGGAGACGACCCCAGCTCGTCCTTGGCTGACGCAGGGGGCGCTCAGGGGTCACTCCTGCTGCGAAGTTCCGTACCCCTGTGTGAGTGCATCCTCACACTGTACCTACCACCTGCAGGGCCCGTCCTCGCCCCTCATCCTTCCCCTCCAGCGGTTCCCTCCTCTCCGGCCGGGCATGAGGACAGGGCGCAGGGGAAGCTGAGGGCTTGCGGGGGAGAAAGAGTTCCTGACCACTGAGTCAGCCTGAACCGTCTGCCCCGCACACAGCCACTGTAAAGTCCCGGTCACTGCTGTGTTTGTAGATCCGGTTCCCCAGCCACCATGTCTCAGAAGACACCGCAGACTCCCGCACGCACGCTGCAGAATGGCCAGTCTCCCTCATGCATGTTGACTCGGGTGACTCCCTAGCAATGCAAACACAATAAAATAATTCTTAACCAAGTGGGACTGAAATGCCAGGGACTCCAGGAAAAGCAAGGAAAGCAAAGAGACTTGGGTCTATCCCTGCAGTCTGCCTCTTGGGAGGATTCCCTCAGCCGGGAGCAATGCCTAAGCAGGCGCTGCGCTGAGGTGGGGTACGTGGGGGCTGCCGGGTTGTGAAGAGAGGGCCCTGGGGTGCTGACTCCCATCTGTGTCAGCAGCAGTGAGTGAACGAATGAGAGTACAGGAGCAGCTGGCCTGAGCAGTATTAGACAGTGAAACTTCACACTCAAAACTGTTTTCCTGAAATGCCCTTACTTCTACTGCACATGAGCAGTGTGCTCTGCGAGCAGTATGTGGCCACGCTTCCACACGTGCTGAGCTGAAGGGAGCAGATGGGGAAGTAGCCAGCACCCTGGACCCAAGCCCAGGCTTGCCCGCACCTTTGCGCCAGTGCCGAGGGCAGAGCCCCTCCGAGGCAGCCACGCCGGGCCTTCGGATCCCAGCACTTGATAATCGGGTGGCACGCTCGGTGGTAGCTGGCCGAGCTCTCACCGTTTCTAGACTTTAAAGAAAAAAGAAGCTATAACCTCTCAGAGTTTGGAGAGAGAGGAGGGTACAGATAGGTGGGGAAAACTTGACCCATCTCTTCCTTCTAGTCTGTTTATTCCTTGAACATTATTCTTAATAAGTCCCAAACCCCAGCTCATTGTATCCCTTTCTAAGAGGAAAGACATGCAGAATTTCACCCATGATAGCTGGATTTACAATCTAGAATGTCTTTAAAAAGTGGACAAGTGCCTATTGTCTTAAATGATATCTTTTGTGTGTGTGTGTGGTATCAGGAATTGAACTCAGGACCTTGTGCTTGCCAGGCAGGTGCTTGTATCGCTGAGCTACATCTCCGGCCCCTTAAATGATACCTTTTGTGTAACATCATAACACATGCCACTGTCACCCCCAGAAATGGATTTAGGGCTGTAAAAAATACATAACTGTGCATGAAGAATTGAAAAGATAGAAATTTGATAAAAATGTGATAAAAGATAGAAATTTGATAAAAATTTGATAAAAATGATTTCTGCTAACAGTAAAATTATTTTCCATAATCTGGTCTCATCAATAAAATGTAAAATGACCAACTTCCCTGAAGCGACAGTTCTGTTAACGCAGGAAGAGGAATGTGAGTAAAGCAGGGTAATCATTTGATTTGAGGACTTGAGTATTTAGTTCGGGAGCACCTACTTTTGCCAAGTCTGCCTAATTTACCTTCACTGCATGAATTCCCAAGCTTCCTTTCAGCTCTGTAATGGTATTTTTAAAAATATAAAAAAAGGCTTTGCTCTTCAGGGAGGGAAATGGGGACCATGATCTTAGCAAATGTAATTTTGGAGTGACCTAAGATATAACTGTATCTCCCCCAAAAGACTGTGCTTTATTTTTCAGTCGACTAAGCAGTATGTTCCTGGTAAGTCGGAGAAATAGTTGTAACTTTATTAACTTGCATGAATGCTTTGCATTTTTTCATGACAACGTTATGCTGGTATTGATGCTTAGTAAGCAGCACAAGAGACCGCCCCCTCGTAGACTCCAGCATGGAATCATAGAGTTCAGCCGTGTCAGAGGCATGTATGTATTTATGTCTGGAATTGTCTTTGTGTATTTGTGTGTGTTCATTTTTCAAAAGACAAGAATTAGATATCACCTATTTGACAGTAAATGTTCTAGAAACTGATTAGCCACATGGTTAAGACATTCTCTTGAAATGAGATTTCTACTAAATGCCATTAAAAAGAAAAATGACATTTTTCTGTGGCTTAGGAAACTGCCCAGCCCTTGGGACTGTCAGAAGTCAAGGAAAGGGCGTCTGTACTAATGCGTTTGAAAAGATTGCCCTCTAGCGTTCACACATTGTCATTGCCCCTAGAACCGTCAGAACAATGCACCTGCAGCTGTTAGCGTCTCTCCGCTGAGTACAGAGTAACAGTGCGGCACACATCAGCCTGCCCTTTCCTGAGTAACGTGACTCTGCCACCTACCAACATGTCTGTGGCGACTGATTAAACGTTTTGGAAGAAACACTGCATATTTTTCTGAGTGTAAAAATAATGTGCATGTTGAGACTATTTTAATGAACAGCACAGGTATTGCAAAGAACAGTGGCGTGCTTTTGATGGATTCTGTATGTAAGGAGTCATTTGCTTTGTGGGCCAGTGGAATGAACAGCATCTGAATGAATGAGAGAATGCAGTGAAATGAAAGCGGAGTTGTGGCCTCTGGTGAAGTCACTCACGCGCTCTGACAGTGTTTCCCCGCCTGAACAGTGAAGGAGAGGCGGGACACGAGCGGCTGTAAGGCCCCTCCAGTTTCTGCAGTCTGGATGGAACCAGGCAGCTGTGACACTGTGCATGTCACTGCATCTGGGCGACCGTGACCTTGACCCTACCCGAGCTTCCCACAGACACGGCCCAGGGAGGGAGCCTGCTCACTGGAGATCAGACCAGGCTGTGAGGTGTATGCCAGGGACCACACCCGGGGATATCACAGCCTGAGCCCCAGGAGGTTTTTGGAATTCTCCCACACTTGCGTTGGGAATGTGTATTTGTACCACGGATACTGGGGGAAAGAGGGAAATCACTCCCAGTAGCTAGTGTCTGCCGCTGGCCTGAATTGTACTTAATAATATCGAAGTCATACGTATGAGAGTGCAGAGAGTAAATGCCTGCTCCTAGCTGCTGCTTAGGCCAGGTGCCTTTAAATCAGCGTGCCTTTTCTTTTCCTAGACTTCACCTTAGTGACAGTGTCTAGTTTGCTCAGGAAGGCAGCAACTTTATTTTTCCTCTGCTTTGCTCTTGCAGACATGGCTTGAAGAATGTCTGTGGAAAAATCTGGGAAATTCTAGATGCTGGCAAGGAGGGAGCTACAGAATGTGATGCGCTTGGCATTTGCACACCATAGGCACAAGCCTCATAAATATGGATGTGCATTCCTGTAACATCGTTCTCCAGCATTCCATAGCGCAACAAAACGACCCAATCTGAGTGAATAAAATACAGCTCCTTCTAGTCCGCATTCCAGTTCCAACAGTGACTCCTTTCACAGCCAGCGGCAAAGTAGACCGGCAATGCAGGCACAAGCCGGCTCTCTCGCCTCTGGCTATCCTTGCGGTGTGTAGACGGAGCTCACAGGTGTCTTTTTAAAGTGGGAGAGAGCGCTCTTTTACCTCTCTGGACTTAAGGGCCGCCGCCTCCTGTCAGTCTGCTTTTCAGTGACTCCTCACTTAGATCGTAGCTCCTGTCGTGACAATGCCTGATTAGTGGGCAAAGTAAAGTAACAAAAAAGCCACACGCAGTCAATTCATGTGACACTCGAGATCATCAGGTGGGTTTGAGCAGTAACCTTTTAGTCGTCTCTGCATCTCACACAGTGTCACAACAGCCCAGCCTCACCGAGGCAGCCACAGGGAGGCACCTGCAGGCACAGTGCAGGAAGAGTGCGGGCGTGAGGCCTTGTCCGTGGGCCCCGGGGTCACCGGGCGCTGGCCCACACCCCGCACCTGACAGCTGCGGGCGTGAGTCCGAGCACAGGCTTGTCTGCACACGGCCTCGCCGGCTCCGGGCCTCAGCGCCACTCCTAAGCGCTTGGCCACCGGCCGCGCCCGTTCCCTGGGGACATCTCGGGTCAGCTTGTGCACGAGACACGTCTCACCGTGGAAGGAGCAGCAGTGCCGCTCTTTCTCCAGGATGAACGAATGTGTGCGATAAACTAACCCTTCCACACACTTTCTCGTTCCCTCCCTCTGACCCAGGGTCCCCGCTGGTCCCGAGGGCCCTTTGTGCTCCTCCTCCTTCCCGGCCTCTGTCCTGGCTCCTTCCTCTCACTCTGCCGCTTTAGCGCTCTCCCTCCGTGTCCGTGTGCCACCGTTCCTGTTCCTATTCTGTGTATTTCCGTTTGAGGCCGCAGTCGTCACCCCGTTGGGACTTCACTGCAGTCTAGACCGTGACTGCGTTTGGCCACATTTCTCTCTGTCCCTTAAGAATTAGAATAGACCAACATCAGTATTCCAGAAAGGGTCCTGGGGAGGTATTCGCATGTTTATTCTTTTTTTTTCTTCTTTCAGTGGTGGCAAAAGTCCTCACTTTATGGCATGAGAGTTAGGCCGGGAAAGGCATCACAGAGTTGTCCTCCCCGTTGTGGGCACAGCAAACGCCTTCATCTCGGCTGGTCCGCGGCGCGGCGCGGCCAGGAGGAGGAGGAGGCTCCGGCGTTCCACAGCACAGTGGGGCGGCTGTGCTTAACGGGAACCTGTTGTTAGAAAAGGGAATTTTGAGTGTTCCCGACACAGCGGCATGCTGCGTGTTGAGCTGATGGGTCTACCCATCTTCCTGATTTGATCATTACACCGTGTAGGCAGGTACTGAAATGGCACACCATGCTCCGTGGATATGGACAGCTATTTTGTATTAATTTTTTAAAATGCCCTGACCTGGGGCGCTCAGGAGCGCTGGCAAGCAGCAGACTCTGCCGACACGAAGTGTCCCTGGCGGATGGGGACTGTGCAGTTTCCGGCTCTCAGCCGGCACCCAGGGAACGGTGGCCCGGGGGACACAGGATCTTCCCCACGTCTTAGCCCAGGTTCCCACCCCATCTCCCAGGGCAGACAAGCGGGACGGGCCTGTGGCTTTGTAACTCTGTGTCCTCTCGTCTAACTCCTTGGCTGTCCTAACTGTGCCTGCTTGTTGACCTGTGTAGACTAGATACTAACTGCTGCTTCCTGCTGGACTTGTTTCGGGAGACACCCTCTCTCAGCCTTCTGCTCCCTGCGACCCCTCAGGCTGCTGAAGCTGCCCTCCCCTCCCTGGCTGCATTTCTCCCGGGCTTTGGATGTGCAGCCTTGCCCGGGCCCAGGAGCCCTGCTCAGGCCTGTCCAGCAGGGGGTTCAAAGCCTGGCTTTGCCGCGTTCCTGACTTGGCATGCGGGTCTGGGAGGGCGCGGGGAGGGCAGGCTCGAGCACCTCTGTCATGTGTCTGCAGTTCACTGCTGCCCAGGCTGGGCTGGGGGGAAGCTGGGCACAAGTGGGTGGGAGACAGGGCATTTGGCCCAAGGGCTTCTTCTGCCAGGGAACTTCAGACAAGTATTAAAAATGCTGCACCATCGCCTGTATAACCGCCGAGCAGGAAGGAAGGACGGTGTCAGAGCTGTGGGAGCCCGTGGAGCACGGTGCGAATGACCCCGAGTGTGACACTAGAGGGCTGAGCCCACGTTCCTTTGCGCGCGCTCACTCCTCCCACCTCCACTGCACTTCGGAGCTTTTTTGCAGAGTGAGAGGTTGGACTAAGTGCTGAGTCCTGTGCAGCCCTGCGGGATTAAATCTGAGCTAGACTGAAGAAATGTCAGAGACATCTTTTTGCTGCGCAAGAGGATGATGAAGCCCAAGTAAAGCAGCCATCTGAGGCAGTGACTCTTGGGTGGGGAGCCCCCACCAGGGTACCCTGGGCCATATCTGGAGACACTGGTCCTTTTCCAGTCTGCCCCTTATCTGCTTCCAAAAATTGTTCACCTTCCTAGCTGGGCCCCGTGTCTTGGTCCCTTCCCCTTATCCTTCCAGCTACTGCAGGCCAGCAATCAGCCCAGCCACGGTCCTTCTCCCCGCCGGCCCCACCAGGCCCGTTTCACACCGCGTGCTTGCAGCGAAGGCGGAGGAGACCGGGTGGTGCCCGTCCCGGTGTGATTTCAGCCCTGAGCGGGACTCACAGGCTTGTGTGGCCTGAGGCACCTTGACTGTGAGGCCAGAGCACGAGGCCTGGACGTGGGGCCGCGAGCCAGGCTGCGGGGAAGCTCACAGGAAGCGTCCCTGGAGGGGGCTGAGGGTTCCCGTGTGGCACCTGTCCTGAGAGTCTTCATTTCTGTGCTTCCTACATTTCCTACAACTGCAGTCTATGTAATCGTTGTACTTGTAATAGACTTCTTTAGACTTACGGAGTAAAAATGCAAATCACATACTCCAATTTTTGCTTCAGAAAGACGACCCTTGTATCCACTAGAAAAAGGTGGGCCTTTCCCCAGGAGGCAGCTGGAAGAAGGAGCTCCCGGTTTGCAGTGGGGCAGGGAAGAGGCCCGAGACAATGACCGCACCGTGGGAGCGAGTGCACGGGCCTCGAGGCGGTGCGTTAGAAAGCAGCCGTGCTGAGCCCATGGCTGGGTGCTCCCTAGCTATGCTGGGAAACCTCACTGTGGTTTTAGAGATCGCCTCACTGCTTCAGAAATGTCATTCTTTTGTTCCTCTCCAGCGACAGCTGGGCAAGAATATCAAGTTTGGGCAGAGGCCACCCAATGCCGTTCCCGTGAAGAAGGCGGGCAGTGGAGACGCCAGCTCAGAAGAGGACCTGTTCCTGACCAGTCCCATGGACACTGTGGCCCAGCAGGACATCGTCCGCTCAGACACCGAGAACAAAGTGAGCTGGCGGGGGAACAGGGAGGGCTCGGAAGCCGGGCAGGGCGGTGGGCATCGGACAGGGCATCCGGTGCGCTGCGGCCTGTGGTGGAGGGAGCAGGTGGGAGAAGCTTTGCTGAGGAGTGGCTCGGGGCTGGAGGGCACTTCCTGCGCAGGTGCCCCTTCCTGGGGCCCACCAGAAGAAGGGAGCCTTCCACGTGCCCTCAGCTCTCAGGCTGTACCCCCATGCGCAGGGCCCTCCCTGGCCTCACTCCGAGCTTGTGTCCTCCGGGCCTCTGCTGTGAGTCTTCCCCACTTCTTCCACAACGCCCCCCCACATCTGCGCTCTGTCCGTGTGACTGTCCTCACCTGACCCCCGCAGGCACCCGCACCTTCCACTCCTGGGTCTCCAAGGACTCAGTCAGTGCCTGCTTAGTTGCACTGCGTGATGGCTTATTGCACTGGACTGATGGAAACGAAAATGAGGAAAGAAGGCAGCCGGGGTCAGTGAGGCCAAACACAGCGAACGGGCTGGCTTGAAGGCCCTGTGTGTGACAGAAAGTTGTGTTCACACCGCGCTGTCTGAACTCACCCGCGACCCTCGAGCGGAGACCGCACACCCGGAATGGAGAGCTCGTCCGCACAAAGGGGCCCTCACACCCCTGCCGGAAAGACAGCAGGCAGCGGAAGGCCTGCCATCAGCCGGGCAGGCTCTCTGTAGGTGAGGGGTGGGGCTTCAGGTAGGAAGAAAACCACATGTTCTCAGTTCTGCCTGCTGAGGTGCCTGTACTCAGGGAGGTCGGTATTAAAGCGGAGCAAGGCATGCTGTCATCCTGAGAGCACTGAGATAAGTGATTTGCAGAGGAAAACTCAGAAGGGAAGAGGAGGAGGATGCTCCACCCTGGTGCCCCCGCCGCCTGGGCCTGGCCTCACACCCCTGCGCTCATACACATCGGTACTCTGCGGGTGGGGGTGAGGCAGGGGTGAGCCCCAGTCCCCCCACTGCTCTACAAGCCGATGCCAGACAGAGCGCAAGGACGGAAGCAGCGGCCCAGTCCCTGTGAGCTCTGACAGCGGTCCCTGAGGCCTCGCGGGGAGGGAGCTGTCTGTGCCGCAGACCTGGACTCAGACGTGGGACGTGGGCTTTAGAAGATGAGCAGGATGAGCCCAAACTCCATGCAGTTTGCTTCCTAATGAGTGGCCAGCAAATAGATAAATACAGTCACTTCGGGCCCAGAAGAATACTGGCTGCACGGAAAACAAAACAGGGCTGCGTGAAAGTGAGGAGCGGAGAGGTCACAGCCTGAGGTGTGTGGCTGCGGGCAGAGCTGCCGGCACAAGTGGAAGGATGGTCTAGTGGACAGTGAGCGGCGTCGAGGTCGCCATGCGACTGAGCTCGTGTGAAAGCGAACCAGGAGGCAGGAGTGTGGCCGGGCGGGAAGCAGGGCCAGTCAGGCGTGCAGCCCACCGGGAAAGGGGGAAATCTGTGGCGATGCTCTTCTGCAGAGGGGGCTGCCTCAGGAATTCTGCAGGGCAGCCTCACAGTCTGGTCTGAGTTTGCTGTCTACGCGTAGTACAGAGAATGGACAGGCAGGGCCAGCGGACAGCACCCTGGAAGAGGGGAGCTTGTGTAGAAGTGGTGACATGAGTTGGCAGGTAGCGCGGTAGCGAGGGCCATCGGGAAGGTGGGGTGTCGGGCTGGCGTGAGCCCAGCGCGTGCCTAGCACCCTGGGGTGGGTCTCCAGCCGCCCCCTCCCCTTCCTGCCTGAGTTCCTGCTCCCTCCACTCCCTTCGCAGTCCAGCTCCCTGCCCGTGGCACTGGGAGGCCGTCTTCCACCCTCGCACCGAGGGGAGGTGCCGGCAGGTGAGGGCTGGCAGGTGCCGGCCAGGCCGGAGCCCGAGGCGGAGCCACGTGTGGAGCGCAGCCTCACTCCCCGGGCCGGGGGGCGAGTGAACAGCTCAGCTTCTCTCAGGCTGTGGGGAGAAGCCCAGGCCTGGCATGGGGCCCCCTGGATGGGAAACGCATTGACCTCGGGAAGAGGTCCTCAGCCCCCGTTATTGAGCCTGTCCTCCTCAGCAGAGCCCACCACAGCTGTTGGGGGCCAGACGCCCCCAGCGTGGAGGAGGGGGCGGCCCTGCCCGGGCACAGGCGGCGTCTGGTTATTTGCCCAGAACTTCCTGTTCCAGTGTCTGACTTGAGCGCCTCCTCTGTTGTTCCAGTCCAGTGATACGCCAAGTTCTCCAAGTCCTCTGAACCTGCCTGGAGCCGGAAGTGAGATGGAAGAGAAGGTAACAGGATTTGAACTTCATTTCCTTTCTTTACCTTGCAGGTTTTTTTCTTTTTAACCTGCTGCTTCCTGTTTCATTCGTAAGTGTTGCCTTCATATGTGTTAGTTTAAATTCCTTCAACAAGCAACCAGTAGCTGGGATTGGAGCATCTGTTTCCATGGCAACACAACTGTTGGAACTGAACCCTGCTCTGCAAAAATGCCCAGCCTGCCCTAGAGTCTTGGAAGTTAGTAGCCTTCCTAAATGTATTATGTCCTTCAAGTCAGTGTTAATCCGTGGCAAAGTGCATCCCAAACTGCATGTACCTAAGTCTTTAAGGAAGAATCCTCTAATAGAGAAACAGGAAGCAAACACATAATCAGAAAAGCCCTGCCTTAGCCTGTGTTTCCCCCTCTCTCTCTCTCTCTCTCTCTCTCT